ATTGGTTATGTGTAACATGTTATGAATATGGCGGTTTGTTTCTTCTCCTTCAACATGTATTGAGCTACGACTTCACACTGGAAGAAGCCGGTGTTGAAATTAATGAAGAAACTAATTCACAAGTAAGTTAATTGTTAAATGGTTTTGATCTTAATGCTTCTATGTTTATTCATTAATTAATGGTCGGCAATATCGAGACTGCGGAAGTTTGTTGTACAACGAATGCGTTGTAGGTCAAATATTCGAGCTCTGTTCGAGATTTATCTCGGCTATTTGTACTTCCCGATCGATGACACTATGGAAGGAGATTTTCTGTTTAGGGATATTAACAGAAAACTGTGTTAGCATTGAAGGTCTTGTTGTTATGGACGTGTGATTTTAGAAACTATAGGGTTGACTCCTTAAGGCTGACGGCGCACGAATATTTTGTGAGGTGTTCTCAGTGTGTTACCTCAATATTTTTCATAATATACCCTGGCACTAGGTACTGTATGTTTAACTGTGAAATATTTGGATTCAACCATTGTTAATACTTCTATTGTGAAGACAGCTTGGTTTCAAAATGCTATTTATCAGTAGGACTCACCTTACGTCCATCACTATTCATTATAGTTGACAACACCTTTTTATCCTCAAAATAAATAGGTAATTTGAAGTGAACAATATTAATCGACCATAGATGTTACCCTAATCCGATATTCAGGCTTGCCCATCGTGTTGACTCAGTAGTCGAGCTATGTATTACCCGGAACTCTTGTTCCTTTAGATCCCACCACCCCCAAGCAGGTTGGCTGGTGGACGATAAGTCTAAAAGAGCAGTAGCTTAAAGTCCGAAGACTAAGTCACACTGCTGACTGTGGAGAGGTGTAACGGAAGTAAAGCGTTCACCTCAGACAACTATGATCTGTGACGATGCTGCACCTCACCTTACCCCACAGATTTCAGTCCCTGAAGGTAAAGCCTTTTAAATCACCGAGCTAAAACATCAAAAGCCTCCCACCAAAAGACTACATGTGACCGTTGTAAATACTTTCCCCTTATGCTCTGCTGTCACTCTCCCAGTTCACTAAAACTGCCACTAACATATTTTCTTTTTCAGGACCCTGAAGATGAAAGATGATTCACAATGCCATTCAAGTAAAAGATCTTGAAAGTCAGCTCATAACATATTTGATGATTACACTATATTCCTCCCTAAGTCGTCTGTGAAACAACAGAACAATTTCTACAATACAATGAGTATTTCTATAGTAAATTTGAAAAAAGTGACTACATTATTAATAATTTGTAATTTTCCGTTATCGATATGGAGGATTGCAAGTGGTCAGTCTATGTATCAATATTGGGTTTGCGTCACATTATGTTGAATATCAACACTGGGATATATTAAGCTGACAAGTGTCAGATTGGACGAAACTCGAGTACAATAGATTTCATTGTCAGTCATTTATCAAATAAAAGTAACTATTATTTAAGTTTTTTGAATAAAGAATAAATTTACCATGTAGATTATTTGTTCTTTTTTTTTCTTAAGGTTTTAGCAAATCGTCTAGCTTTATTATCATTATGGGCTATTGGTCGAATGGTAAATGGTTATGCAACTGGTCGTGAAGTAACAGAAGATGGTTATTTAATGCGTGAAGGACCAGATGTAATGGAAGCATTAAGTCGTTTATTAACACCACATTTAGCTAGAAAAATTCTTGAATTAAATATATATGATTCAAGTCAAATTGGTCGATTAAGCAATGGAAATAATGATTCACAAATTTTACATGATTTCTCTTTAGATACATCTAGAGGGAAGTATTTACGTTCATTAGCAAAATTATTAACTACAAATTCTGTAACACCATATTTAATATGGGATAATCGTTGTAGAGCAGAATTGGAAACGTTAATTGATCTACAAGTTGTTCGTTTAATTAAAACTGTAAGTATTCTATTCGTGCATTATTATTATTATTTGTTCATTTGTACACATAAATATTAGTACAAAAGGGCACCAAATACATATACCCACCACACATGTCACTTGATTTGTGTATGGGCTGTGAAACTAACCGGGCGCCCAAACCGAAGCAAGTGGTTTTCTTAGGGGGCCACACCTAGAGCCTTTGACCTAAAGGTCTGATCCACAAGGCAGTGGAGCAACGTTAGGAGATGCAGTCCTATGGTAGCCGGTGATCAACAATTGGTTCACACACTATTTGTTCCTTCAGGATACTGGAGCCCATGTGCACCATTGATTTAGAATGAGGGTTTTCTAACTGCCTTAGGTGAACTCTCCGTGTCCCTTAACCCGAGTAAAGCTCCTACCGGACATTCGCTTTTCATCCTCTTAATTTCGTAAAGAACACTCTGCTGCTTGAAGGCAGTGAGTAGAGAGTTATTATTATTTGTTTTGTCTGTATTCTGAAGCGGAAAATTTACTAATTAATGTGGAATCTTTTGTATAACTGAAGTTTCATGTTAATATTTTCTGGGCTTTATACATGTAGAATTCGACGTTGAGAAACTCATTTCTTGAAATTTCACTATCCGAAGAAAATCGATTACTAAGTGATCTGAGGGCAAATTCTTAGTGTTGGATGTTTTAATGGTGTGATGTGATAATAAAGTATTCCCCATGAATGATCAGAATTCTCATTCGTGCGTTTCTATCATAAGCAAAAAATAAGGTTGAAAACGTTTTTTTCTAAAATATCTCACTTCCGTTGATGGATATTTTTTCCGGTACCAATGGTGAACGACGAAATTTGCTGATAAATCTGACTGAACGCTTGAATCGGTTTCTTAAGCTCTTTAAATAACCTCAGGCTCGATGTACAGGACAACTTAAACATGAAAGAAAAGGCGCGAGATATGGAACGAACACTGCGCGAAATCGAAGGTATCTATAGCATTTCAGAGTGCATTTGACTTCTGGAAGATTCTAGAGACCTACTAAACATAGTAGCATGAAAATGATCATCCAATTAGAAATATAGCCCGTGATTTCACTTTCTAGATATTTCTGAGAAACATCTGTTCAGTGCTAATTGGACAAAATGCTTCCTAGCTTTTTCAGAGACTCTCTTAGCATTCTTTGAGGAATAGTCTGGATCTCCCCAGCACTTTCACTGTGAAACTAACTGAACACAAGAAAATTGTATGTGCATACAACTGACTCAAAAAACTTGTTTCATCATACAACATGGTTATATTATCAGATCGTAAAGGTTATCAATTATAATTCAGTTTCTTTATCTCAAAGTTCTGATGAAATCACTCGGAACACTAAATAGATTTATCAAATTTCATATTTGCACTTATTTGGAAATATCGTTTAGGAATGAAGAATATTTGTGGTGTAAAGGGAACGATTTGCATGGTTTCCCATTGTCTTAACTTCTATTGTCATTTTGCCCAACACTGTCTTTTTCTGATTTATTTTGAGACAATACCAACAGTTTTGCAAGTCAACTCATCCAGTTCAAATTACACAATGTAATCAGTCAAAAGAAGGAGGATACTACTCAACAGTTCAGTCTATTCTACTCTGTTTGTGAAATGTGACCTTTAAAAGTGGATATAATTTGTTTTTGTTGAAACTACTGAATAGGGTAATGCTGAGTTTAGATGCAGAGTACCAGGTAAGGTTGGTAAATCGGTTGATTAAATAATGAATCTTCATTGATTGAGTTGATTTGGGACATGTGTTACACATGCCTAACCACCATCTGTCTCGATGTGCAATCATTACCGACATAATATTGAATTGTAAGAAAGCTAGGGTTCGACAAATTAAAACGTAACATCAACTGATTAACTCATAGCCGCTCCGAAGTTCAAGTGGACAGCAATTCTGGCATACAAGTATATCCACCTAACAAACCTCAAATAGAACAAAATGATTCCACTGCAGACCACTTTTTATCTTTTTATGTAAAATTACCTTTATCTAGTCATTTTGCTTAATTACTAAACCATCCTCTTTTTTTATTTGAAAAATAACCATTAGGGTGAATGTAATTTAAACTCTGTTCTATCATTTACTCATGAATCGTATGCTCAAGAACTATTAGTTGGTGAAGTGTTTGTCAGATTATATAATAAACAACCAGCTTATACATTGGATGTAAGTAAAGGTTTTTAATTTGTTAATATATAACTGTGTTAATATAGAGGCTTTACTCAACTGAATTCAAATAAACAACCATTGGAAAATCATTGGTGTAACTATGTGTTAGTTAATAGGAGACCAACCATATTAAGAATATAGTAGTTATCTATCAATGGCATTAAATAGTAGTTGCGCAATGTCACGAGTTGTTCGAAGTTAGAAATCTGAACCATTGAATGTCAATCTAGTGATTTAAGGGTTCAACGCTGTCTAAGAGACCTAATGCTATACATTCTGATCACCGATGTGATCATGAATGTGGAGTTATGACAAGGAATCCCATACTGTAAAGAAACAGTTACTCAATGTTTCTTGGTTTTCAATGTCCTTTTGAACGATGATATGTTCAAAGTGTATGTACGCTAAATTAATCATTTGTTAAGTAGTAGATTCACGATATTTTAAAGAGAATCTATATCTGGTGAAATCTAATCATGATAGGAATGAAACAGTCATCCATCAATACATAATGGGATGATTATCTTTCTAGATTACTAATTTTTATTTATTTATTTATTTTAACACATAGATATTGGTACAAGGAGGCACCAAATACAAATACATCTGTGTGAGGGCTGTGATACTGCCTGGTTGTAAAGACCGAAGCAGGTGGTTTTCTTGAGGAGCCACATCCGGAAACTTCGACCTAAAGGTCTGACCCACAAAGCGGTGGGGCAACATCAGAAGATGCATTCCCATAGTAACCGGTGACCAACGATTGGTTCATGCGCCATTTGTTCCTTCAGGATCCTGGAGCCCATGTCCATCATTGGTTTAGAATGAGGGTTTTCCAACTCCCTTAGGTGGAATCTTCGTGTCCCGTAACCCGGTTAAAGCCCCTACCGGACATTCGCTTTTCTTCTTTGCAATTTCGTAAACAGCACCCCCGCCACGAGAAGGCGATGAGTAGGACGTCTCTGGCTGTGGCTATATACGCGTGGCCATGTGAGAGCATTTGGAGAGGGAGTGTGGACTCTCCCCACTCTCAGCCGTACCAGGGCATTTTGGGGCTAATTAAATTAAATGTGAAAATATAGTCTATTGAATCGTAGCTTGATTGTTCTAAATGTATTATTCCTATCGTAAATGCGATTATATTTTGAAACGAGTCTCCAATACGATGATGAAGAAGCTGTCTTCCAATGTGTTTTTAAAAAATTCAAAATGAGTTTCATGCTTTCTGTTGTGGTAGAGTGAATAATGAGGAAAGTATAACTGGTGGAACTAATCCACGGATTAGTATTATAGATAACTGTATTTTTGTATCTATATCATCCCCCCATTACATGCTCCCAATGGACTAACTAACTATTGTTATATGTCTTAGCATTCCTCTGCTATTGCTGGTTAGTTGTTACTGTTTGTTTCACCCTCTACTAGTTATGGCGTGAATTCAAATTTGGGGAGCGTTACGGTCTGATCATCAATGTATATAAGTTAATGTGTGTTCAAGGTAGATCTTGTGCTGGGTGCTGTATTCTGTTTTTAAATTCAAAGATGGAAATTAGCGGACCAACAATACTCAAGCATACTTTAGCTTCAGCTCAAGATTAATCGTATTGATCGGAACATATCATTCACAGAGACGCCAGACTATAAATAGAATAGCATACACGAGTTAAGAAAATTTAAGTCGGAATTCTGATTTGACAATCTACTGAGCAATATCGATTAATATCTCAGCCATAACACCACCAGCACTACTCAGTGATGACTCCACACGCGGGAGTGGAAGTTGAAATCTCTGGTCTGTCGTGGGAACGTTCAACCTCCAGAACGATGAGCCGGCATTCATTGGTGTTAATGTTTAACTTCAATCAACCCACTACATTGCACAACTATCTTCAATGGTTTTCAGTTTGTAAAAGTGTCTCACACCCAAAATGGTTTACCTTGACTAGTCATCACTTCTCACTAGGAATCCTGTGTTCAACTTTCATGTGCGCGGTTGTGGATGCGCATTATTGAGAAGTCCCTTACTAGGATGAAACGGCTGTTCATTGCTTAGAGGTTTTCAATGGTGGTCTAACTTAGATGGGTTTGTGATTTCAATGAAATTCAACAATCTCTATAGTCACATACTGACGATTTATTAATTATGATTTATTGTAGCACCATATATATATATATATATCCGGGTAATTAAAATAGTCTTCTGACTCCGATAGATCTCAGGTGCGTCATTCTGACAGTTACTACAAAAACTAATCCATTTTCCGTTTGTTCACCTTGATTATGACAATGAATTGCTTACTGGATCTTTTCCTGGTAGTTTCCAAGATCACTGATCGGTTAAATTAGTCTCAACCCTTATTTCGATCCCCCGAATAAGCATTTCTTGAAGTATTGTAGGTGAGTTGTAGCAGCGACCTATAGCTTTAGAAGAAAGGAATGATGCAAACAAAGGACTTCAGAAGTAAGGAATCGACAGAAACGCTTCTCCTGATCAACACTTTCAAAAGTTTTTAAAAGTCTAGGAAACAACTGATTATGTTTCTATTACAGTTACCAATTTGTAGTCTCTTTTCTAAAAGCTTTTTATATCTTAGATTCATACACATAAGCTTACAGATACCCCCTTTTTTCTATAAATAGTAATCTTCTGAGTAAAATTCCTTCGATACTTCTCCATTTTGTAATTTCTATTTGGAATTGAAGTATTAAAAACCTTCCGAGGTTATGAGAGATCAATTACAAATTCAATGTTTAATTCTATTCAATTACATAACTATTCTAAAGATAAACAATTTTATTGATTTTTTTTTCTT